TTTACTCCAAGTTTTTCTTTATTTTATTTTATTTTATTTTATTTTGAGTGGGAGTCTCACTCTGTTGCCCAGGCTGGAATGCAGTGGCACACTCACAGCCACCACAGCCTCGAACTGCTGGGCTCAGGTGATCCTTCCACCTCAGTCTTCCAAGTAGCTAGAACTATAAGCATGTGCCACCACGCCCAGTTAATTTTTGATTTATTGTAGAGATGAGGGCTCGCCAAGCTGCCCAAACTGGTCTTGAACCTGTGGGCTCAGGCAATCCTATCACCTCAGCCTCCAAAGTGCTGAGATTATAGGCGTGAGCCAATGCGCGCAGTTACTCCAAGTTTTTCAACTGAAATGTCACTAACACTACACTATGTTATTTCTCAACCAAATCATTTCATTACTGCCATCACTACTGCTCTTAAAATTTAAAACATGTAAAGCTGTTAACTAAATACTTGAACAATGCTTTTCATAATTAGTGTATTTAGACAGGACAATTTTTTTTTTTTTTTTGAGTTGAAGTCTCACTCTGTCACCCAGACTGGAGTGCAGTGGCCGCTCCCAGTCACCGCAGCCTCGACCTGCTGGGCTCCAGCAATCTTTCCGCCTCAGCCTTCCAAGTAGCTGAAACTACAGGCGCGCACTACCACAACTGGTTAATTTTTTATTTATTGTAGAGATGAGGTCTCGCCAAGTTGCCTAGGCGGGTCTCGCCAAGTTGCCTAGGCACACTCGGGCAATCCACTCACCTCGGCCTCCCAAAGCGCTGGGATTACAGGCTGAGCCACCGAGCCCGGCCAGACAGGACAAATTTAAGATCAATAAGAAGGGCAACCCCTTTTGGTCCCCTCCCACTGCAGGAGCTTTTTCTGTCCTCTCAATAAATCCTGCTTTCTCATTTAAAATAAAATATCAGCCGGGCGTGGTGGCGCATGCCTGTAATTCCGGCTACTCGGAAGGCTGAGGCGGAACTCCAGTCTGGGTGACAGAGTGAGACTCCGACTCAAAAAAATAAAAATTAATTAATTAAATCGAATCAAATCAAATAAAACATCAATAAGACAGTCCAGTGTTATAAATGAGTAGTCAAGATCAGCTAAATCCTAGCCCCATTACCCGTCTCTCTGGTATCCTATTATTGGAGCCAGTCTATACATTTAAGTCCATTTTATCAGCCTCCTGGCATGGTTTTTCTATTACATAATGATTATGAAGCCAGGCACAGTGGTACATGTCTGTGGTCCCAGCTACTGGGGAAGGTCTGAAGCATGATGGTTGCTTGAGTCCAGCAATTCTGGGCTGTACCTGTGACTAGGTACTGCACTCTAGGCTATGCAACACAGTCAGGTGTCATCCCTAAAAAGTAAATAATTATTATTATGAATCTTATTATTTTGCTTTCTTAGTTTACAGCACCTTACATTAATTCGTGTAGCTCTCCCACATACTTAGTATCAGCCCAGTATAATACACAATTTGTTAAATAAAAGTATTTGTTGCTATATTATTGGTCAAGAAAACAGCCCTGTCTTAGGATTGCTCGACAATGCCACAAACACAATGAAATAAGAAGATACTGTCCATATTCATAAATACTATAATTTTATTATTTTCTCACTAAAACTGTTTCCAGAAAACTTGACATCTTAATGCCTAAGAAATAAGCTTAAGCCTCACCTCTTCCCCTAGTCTTCTTTATCTTTTGAATATCTTCACTATTTCTTAATTTAGGTCAAAGTTATTTTCATTTATTGAACCACTAATTTTCTGATCTCATTATTCTGCAGTCTGAAATTTTTTTTTTTTTTTGAGTTGGAGTCTCACTCTGTCGCCCAGACTGGAG